GCTTACTTACAGGTATCATTTATTTACAAGTTTTTTTTATGCATAACAAGACTATTCGACCACAATCGCACCTGATGTTAAGTGGGATGCAGTCTAGGATGGTACATATCTGCCTTGTACCTAAGTGCCTATTCACTCTCGCCTTGAAAAGGCCCGGATTATAGTCAAGTTACAAAAACAAAGAAAGTTGTTACTTACCACAAGCAGCGGGTCGTCATGCGGATGGAATATGAGCCTTGTGAGCGGCGACATAAGCGTGAAAATGTAACGGGGACTCGCAGAATCTTTTCCGCCACAGAGCCGCGTGCCAAACTGGCCTCGCGGTTCTAGCAGGTTTATATTGTTGGAGCCGACGTAGTTTTGCGCCAGATTCACTATCGTCATGGCTAGGGACTGCTCGCCTGGGGAAGAAGAGATACTTGTGATATCGTTTTACAGTCCTTACATAGAGTAGTCTGTCAGCTCACATTATTAAACGAAATTTATTTAAAAAAATCCACGAAAAATTAAAAAAACACATTTTCTCTCAAGATCCGATCTACTTAAGCAAAATATTTTTGTTTGTTTGTATTCAAAAGGCTTGACCAATTTTAAAAATGTTTTCACCATTATAACTACATTATTTCTGATGAACTAATTTCACATAGAAGTAGTCTCATATACGCGTAGTTTTACGCTTGCTTGCAACTTATAAAACAAAACTCAGTCAACGGGAGTGGCAACTAAGGCTACTGCAAATAAAGGCCTTCGTTACTTTCGCAATTAATTACATTTAACTTCTGTGAACACATTACAATCTGTTCTAAGACCAATAACATTGTTAATGAGCAATTTATTTATGCACTAACCGTGATGGTAAGCAGAATGCTCGGCCACCGAGCCAGCCAGTTGTGCCACCTTGACTTCCCGCTTGTCGTTCCGCTTGATGCACGTGAATATCACCTTCCGTTGGCCTGGCTTCAGGCCGTCTATCATTGAGGGGATTGACCTGGAAATAAGTAAATAATTTAGGTTATAATGACATAAAGTTCAAGTAATATCTTCGATACATAGTAACATTCATCATTCATTCATATCCAGAAACGACGATAAGCTTTCAAAGAAAATCAAACCCTACGAAGTAAATAAAATCGTAACTAACATTAAACACTTCTAGTAAGTAATCAATTTGTGTTGAGGAGAAAGTTAAACATTCAGTTAATTTAGAAGAAAAAATGCTGTGACATATGGACGGAGACAGACATGATGAATCTATAAGGGTTCCGTTTTTGCCATTTGGCTACGGAACCCTAAAAATTTCCTTGCATTTCTTAATTTCATGTGTATAGTCTAAAGATAAAATATCTGACTCTTACCTAACATTATCGCCGTTTGAGAAGAGAACCAGCTCCAAATTGACAAAATCTGAATACGAAACAGCTTTCGTGTCTTTAGTGTAAAGGTATCTCTCTGGGAGACCAATCTCCTTCCTTCTCTTCACTTCGTCCATGTGACTGGTCAGCCACTCTTTACGTTGGTCAGCGCCCTTCTTCGAGAAAGCCAGCTCGATATGATGGTCATCGGTAGGACCGCTGTACTTGAAACGGATTCTGTGCCTTTCCATATTCTGGAAGTATTCTTTAGCCTCCTTAGATGTGGAGGTACCCAAACCTTTGTAGTATTTTATATTGTACGTGTGATGGTTGTCTGTATCTCTCTTCCATTCCTCAAATTCTGGTAGCGAATAGAACGATATCTCTTTGTCTTTCTTTGTCGCTTTCACGATGGGTGTTATAAATTCTTCCAGGAACGGCAGCTTCAGCAACTCAGGCCAGTTGTGGTGAATAAAGTTGATGATCAAACCCTTGATGTGGGAGCCGTCCTGATCCTGATCGGCCATGATCATCATTTTACCGTAGCGTAAAGATTTTAAATCGTCAATAGTGTTGTATTTCTTCTTGTACTGAAGTCCGACGATTTTGATCAGGTTGTTGATTTCTACATTCTCCAAGACTTGCTTGTGAGACGCGTCTCGCACGTTAAGGGGTTTACCTTTGAGCGGGAAGACGCCGTAGTGATCCCTGCCCACCACACTGAGTCCGGACACAGCTAAGGTCTTGGCTGAGTCTCCCTCGGTGAGGATCAGAGTGCAGAGATGCGCGTTCTTAGTTCCAGCGTCGTTTGCGTCCTCCAGTTTTGGAATACCCTTCAGTTTGCTCTGCTTTTTACCAGACGCCTTCACAAGCTCCGTCTGGGCTTTAAACTTGGCCCATGTCAGCACAGACTCAACCAATCCCGATTTGCTCACTGCCGTAATGAATTTCTCGGAGAGAGTACACTTCGATCCAAAGCTCTTGGCTTGGAGTGTCATGTTTTCTTTTGTTTGAGAATCAAAGGTTGGGTTCACAATCAAACAGTTTACGAATACCCACATATGATTTTTGACTTGGAAAGGCTTGATATTAACGCCTCCCTTGTTTTTCTTCTTTAAAACTTCAAGAACATTCTTTACAATGTTGTCACTGACAGAATCGATGTGTTTACCACCTTTTGTTGTCGCGATAGAGTTTACAAACGAAACTTGCTGAAATCCGCGATCTGATAAAGTTAGCGCGACCTCCCAGCGGTCGTTCACTTTTTCATAAACAACCTTCAACGGTTGTCCGTTCTCGTCTTCTTTGCCTTTTATGTATAAATCTACATAGTCTTTGAACTTGTTTATTTTAATTCTCTCGCCATTGAGATAAACTTTTACGCCAGCTGTGGAAGCGGCGACGTCATAAGCGCGTCGCGACATCAGCGCTACAATGTCATCTTCTAATTTATCCATCTTGAATTTAGCCAAGTCAGGGCTAAAAGTCACTTTAGTAAAATCGTCATCCTTGCCAGATTCCTTAACTTTAGGCTCTGAAGCCTTTGTCATGTTGGAGCCCCAAGTTTGTTTGAAATGCTTCTTGTACTGCTTAGATGCAGTTTCCACTGTGAATTTAGTTGAGAAAATGTTACAAAGTTTTGCACCGTAACCGTTTCTGCCTCCCGTTACTTTTTCTTCTTCGTCGTTATAGTTGGATGATGTCAAAAGGTGTCCGAAGATCATAGTTGGCACAAACATTTTCTCTTCCTTGTGCATTACTACAGGTATACCACAACCGTTGTTGTATACGGAAATTGTGTTTTGTTCTTGGTTGATGTCAATTTTAATTACGTCCATTTTTGGGTCCCTTTGTTTGTTGTCAGCTGCATTTACTAAGATTTCATCATATATTTTGTATAATCCTGTAATAGAGAATTGTAAATTTACTTAGTGGGTACTTTTAACATACACTAAAAAACAATAAAATTGCAAATTAAATACTCTTGTAATTATGAAACTACATTAGTTGCAGAAATAATATTCCAAATTTCAATATCATGTCTCATACTTTTTAAAATATCTTGATGTAAAGCGGAGCAAACAATTTGACAGGTTAAAATACCCCATATTGAGAGGTGCACTTTGCTTTCCAAGAGCCCGTAGTGGAAAGGGTAAAAATATATTTTTTTAATACTAATTAAGTTTATATCTTAAAATATGTTTAAGGAAATTATGTGCATAAGAAAAAATCTAGGGTAGGTAGATCTATGGTCTCAATAATTTTTTATAGCACATGTTAGAACATACCTGGCACAAAAGTCAGTTCTCTCTGCACCATGCATTCTTTAGTTTTGTCGAAAATCCACATGGTTTCCGTGGCCCGTTCAACGGAACCAATGTATGTGTCCGGTCGGAGCAGGATATGCTCTAGTTGCGACTTCTTCTGGTAAATCTTCTCGATAGTGCCCTTCCCACCCTTGGCGGCCGGGGGCGCAGCCTCCGCCGAGCCGTTCTGGGTGGCGCTATTCATTTTGTTGAACATCGACTGAAAATCAGAAAGTAATTGGACACTTATAATTTCACTTTAATCACAATTAGCAAAATTTGTCATCAAAAGTTGCATTATTGGTTTAATTCATTGAAAAAAATTACTTCTTGGCTGCAATTTATTAGTTAGTAGGTTAATAAACATTTTAGAGCCAAAATTTTAGCTTTATCATGATAAATTTATTATACTCGAGATGTATGATAAATTAAAATAGAGTAAAAGGAAAAACCTGAAGTCACAGCCAAAGTTCAGAAGAAAAATATTGCACCACTGGAGTAAACATACCAATAGCATGGACAAGAGAGTATTCGGTTACTTCCCAATGATAGCAAGGAGAGGGTAGTTTATTAGCATTTTTTTAAACATAACTGACTGTTTGACCACAACCGAATGGGCAATAGGGTTCAATATCGGAAAACAGGAATGTAAATGATCATAAATTCAGTACCACCATTTTACATAAAATTACATACAATAATTTAATGCTCCTTCAGTAAACGTGTACTGATTGTAACAGCTATTAGGATCGGATGGAAAAAACGCTCAAGTTATCGCAATTAGCATGCGAAGAATAACAAAAATAAATACAATGTGACCGTTAGCAATTAAACTGCCGCCAAACTCGCTTACCTTTATATCAGCCATCTTGGTAGTTGTGCTTATAAAACGAATGCGATCAACGCGATACGCTGTTTGTTTTGCAATTAGTGCAAAACACACTCTAAAAGTATTGGCTTTTGCAAAACAACATTTTTATCAAATAAATTGCAAATATTACAAGAGCAATACAATGACGAAGACGCCGAGAACAAGTATAGACAATCTATATATTTTTTTTAAACAGTGATTCATTCACCCTACGCTGTGGTTAGTTTGATCATAGACAATAAAACGGGGTGAAATAAAATGCAATCGTTATTAGTGCGATTTTTAATTGTTTTTTAACAAATTCTCTTTCTCTCTATCTTCTTCTCTTTCTTGATTAACCTCGTAACGTCTGTGACGAGCTGTGATTGCTGTGGTGACGAGTCGTCGTCTTTGTGATTTGCCAAGATCTGCCATCTGCCAAGCAAGATTAGTTGAGTAAGATGGCGATCTTGCATTGCTCCGTTTCTGAAGGAAATAAAAAAAACAACTGTCATTGGCCTCAGCTGTTTCAATTTGAGGTTATGTTTTATTTTATTCAATACAAAATAAACTGAGAATTCTGAAGAAATGACTCTTTTATCTTATGCCTCTATAATACTTCGAAAAAGTGCTGCTCTTCGTTATCCCTTCAATTGTCAAGGATGCGCAAATATAGTCAGAAATGTGACTTCAAGCTCCGTAACTACAAAAACAATTCATGATATAAATACAAACGTAGTAAAGGACGTGATTCTATTTAAATATGAAAACCCAAAGTTCTACAAGTACATGAACTTATTCGCAGTGGTACAGTATATGTTTTGGTCGTATCTGGGCATATTTGCTTTTTCGTCTTTGCGAGATGCGCCGGTCGATAAATCAAAGATTGACGACGATACGCCGTGGTTTCGACGAATAAATCTCGGTGAAAACAAGTATAGAAATACTTTGGGAACTTTATGTGTACTAATCGGTAAGAGTCCAAGTGATTTTATAGCACAACATTATACTTTTTGCAAGATTAAAAACCTTAGTGATAGTTATCACACCGCTTTTGTACTGTTCTAAGGGTCTTAACCATGTAGTATATAGCATTATGTAGCCCTACACCTCCCTGCTGAATAGATCAGGTCAAGGTTAATTCTTCCTAATTTGAAATATATTTTTCAGGTTTTGGATCCATAGCTATGATATGGATGTACACACTCAAGTCAGTCCGTTATCTGATCCTCAACAAAGGTGGAAAGCATGTGACATTTGTAACATACACTCCTTTTGGAAAGAACCGGATAATGAAGGTGCCTCTTGAGTTCGTGTGCTGTAAGGAAAGCCGTGTCAACGCAAGAGTTCAGTTGCCGCTAAAAGTAAAGAACACCTGGATGCATTACATGTTGGACGTGCGAGGAGAGTTTAAAAACCCACTGCTTTTCGATAGCACAGCCGGTCTTGCTAGGAAATGGTAAACTTTAAATGCCACAGAAATAAATGTAACATAATGCTATCTTGTAAATAAATTGATTTGATTAGTCTTATTTCATTGATTTCTATCATAAGTTACCATCTGAAAATTGATTTTATCTAAGAAACTTAAAGCATTTGGCAGCTTTCTGTTGGCAGTTTAAAATTAAATCTTGTGATATAGTTTATAGCAGGGCTTTGTGATGTGTTAACTTAAAATGTTAGTAATAAAACATACAAATGAGATTTATGAGAAAAAAATCTTTATTTATAATTAGAGTAACGGAAAAATCATGTCTGTCTCAACACAAAATAAACATGAAGTACAAATGATAACAAAAAATAAACTTCTCTATTTACAATACATAGTTACATTGATCTAATGTTAAATGCTAGAAGTGAAGTACAGAATGTCATATTACAGGTAAGAACCATGTAATGTTTCTAAGTACTTGATGGAATTACAAATAGATTTAAGTATCCAAAAACAACTACACAATATTTAAAATTAACTATCACATCTACAGGAAGGAAGCGCCGGGTTAGCAAAACCTTACTTAAACAGTGATTATTAATATTTTCCATGAACCAGTGATTAACACATTGTTTTTTCACAATTTTTCTAGAAAATATTTCTGTAGTGAGATTCACTGTTCAGTAGTTTGCCAACCTGCCACTTGCATCCTATATAGTCTTTTGGCTATGTTGACAATCGGACAATTCTGTAATATCACTTGTACATAACACCAAATGTGTATACTTCTGCCACACATACTGGATACATAGATAACCAATATGCTAGGCTGCCGCGGCATGTAGGCCTATCTATAATATGCAATCAGAGTACCAGACCCATCTGTTTAAAGATTAATCGCAAATTTATTCGCATGTGTGGCAGGAGCACTACAAAACATAATTATGAAGTCAAAGATTCCACATTCAGCTTACAGAGAAACTAATAATAGATCACTTATTTATCTAAACCACCTACTGACAATTTAAGTCTACAAATGCTTCAACTAGCTTGCTACAACAAGCTACAGAGAGCTGGTGGTGTGTTCAGGAGTTTAAAATGAGCTCATTATAAACCATCACAAGAAGGGTAGACATGAAAAGGACATTTGAAAAGTATGTAGTCAAACATTACAAAGATGTGTCCACACAGGACGTGTGGCGGCCGCAGCATGGAAATGTTTTTTATGCTGAACTCCGCGTCATATTTATGTATCCTATCCATCTTAATTTGAATACACTTTAAGTTTTGTCGCTAACCATTTCGTGAGTACCACACACATTTTCATACGTCTTAATCCCACTTTTTCGTTCGGTTGACCACGTTTTTGATATGTATGAGATTTGAAATCTTCTAAAGAATGCGGTTGAAAATAGTGACCCCAATAGACACCTCTCACTCTCACAGTATAACGAGTGAGCAAGAGGAGACTTACAGGATTCCTATTAACAACCACATCATAAGTATTTGAAGAAGTTTAAAATGTCCTATAGTTAAGTCACTGATATAGTCATTATTTGTCTTTCCAGCAGTTTTACTAAAACAGGGAGGGACTTTTGAAGGTTAAAATAAGAAACACCACCCGATCTCTACGTTAAGTACAATATTATTTCTTATTTACATTACGTCATAAATATTTAACACTACGAATAAATTACGAGATAAGGCTCTGTGTACAGACACTCCGGAAGCTGTGCATATTATTTTTTATTTTAAAATACCCAGAAAGGTTGTTACACAACGACATTTAGAAAGACTGGATTTGATTTTGTGATTACAAAAAGTTTTAAAAACTTTTTTCCAGATCTTGATACTGGCCGTAAATAAATGTGTTTTTATTCAAACAACAGCGATAAAAAATGTGTTTAAACTTAATCGCTGCAATAAAGAAAGACCTTCTTGTCGATAGGTCAAGTTGCTATCTCTCTAAATGTCGTTGTCTTTCTCACTGTGTAATAATTTATACATCTTTATTTTAATCCTGATTACCAGCCATCACAGGTGATTGTAAAATAAACGTCATAAATATACATAATATGCATTGTAAGTCTGCATTGCAGTAACACATCGCTTTACAACATCGACTACAATTAGGATCAGTTACACCAATTTTAGACACATTACAATATTCCCACATTTAAATCAATGTAAACAACCCTAATTACGAACAGTCAAGAGCAAGATTTATTCTCGTCAAATTATCATCCTTATTCGAATGCAATAAGACGTCAATTTGCCCTTGATTTTCGTTTTACCATAAACCTGGTTGAAATGTAACACTCGACATATTTATTATAAGTAGGTACGCTTTGCGCACATTTTTTAGTTATAAAAATATACATACATAATAATATCCATTCAGTTATTTATCTTCATGACTTTCCCTCATTTCTAAAAACTCGTTCAATTCTCTGATCAGTGAAACTGTCAAATCTTCATATCAATTGTTCATTGAATTGAACAAATCAGAGCAGTCACATTTGATATGTAATTTACTGATCAGAAAATTGAACAACTTTCTAGTGAGGAGTTACTTAATTATATTCTAGTTTATTTAATTAAAAGCGACTTCGTTTACAGCGTTAGTTTTAATTTAAGCAGTGATCAGAATTTTCTCTACTTCATGTCATTTCGTTGTTAAGGTTCTATTTCGAACTAACATGACAATTGGCACCCACACATTAACATCCGTCAGTCTCTTACTCGTATATTTTCAGTTCTATGTCCCTAAACAATTATTAATTACAATCAACTTAATTTAACAATCACAAATAGTTAACTCGTCTACAGTTTGTGTTCACTTATCAGTTACAAAGATATAGGTAATCTACAATTTTTGTAACATTCATTGGAGGTGACACAGGTTTTTTACATTTTCTGTCATTCATAAATATACATATTAACAAAATTCTGAATAACAAAATATTTGACTCATCCCCAAACGTGCTTTCTTATGTTATGCTTGTAATAATTTTGTCATACACGTAACACGTCAGTTTTTTTTTACTTTTACTTCTTTATTTTTTGTCACATCTCAAAAAACTATAGATAAAATTACAGAAATGCATAGATCATTAAAAACAATTTGGACTATGTCTGTACAACCTTGATTAAATTAAACATCACATACCTTCTAAACAATTTGTAAAACAAATGTAATTCGCCGACGGCTTTTATTGACTTATCTACAAATTCAATGAATAATCACATTTAGTTACTTCTTACATACATTATTTTCACTGAGTCTGTGTCGCATTACTGCAATTCACGTGTTATTTAAATTTTTTTCAATCAATATATTCACATGAGACGTCCATACTTAAACTTTGTTCTTTTCCGTTTTGTATTTGTCACATCTTGGAGTTTGTTGAAATAGAAGATGCTTGCTCCAATTTTGGCTCGCACGCCGGGCGCCATTTGTGCTATTTCATATCAATCCAAAAGCAATTTTATCCACAAACAATGTCCATAATTTTTGTTTTCAACACTTTTATCATGCTCATATTCAGTCCGATTCTAGAAGTCATCTATTCTTCTACATCATGACTATCAAGTCTAGCGGCAAAGTCTACTTCTAAAATCATCGTCAGCTTTCATAAACTTCTGTGAGATGTTCCAGCATCTTAAAAACTCCCAATCTTTTACAACCTTCACAATCTACGTTCCTTCATTATCATTCTGTATTCGGCCACTTCCTCATTAGTTGCCAAATAGCGTCACAATTTCCATCAATAACTTTCCTGAAACTTCTCATTCCTATTCCAAACTCTTATCTACCATTTTCTTATTTCTCTTTCTTTCCAACTGGTGCCCGACCAGTTTAGTAGCGCGGCGTGCGTCAGTCCGACAAATACCTCGCCCTGGATATGTCTTCGCCATCGTCTTCCCTGTCCGGGCTGATGCTTTCCACCTCGTCCACTTCTTCCAAGTTTTTTGTGCTCGGATTGCAGAGTCTGAAAATGTTAAAAATTAAATGATTAACATAAACTGTATTGCAGTTACAAAGGATGCTGGAACGTCATCATCCCCCTAAGAACGCCAAAAGGAAGATCTGCTTTTTATTAAGACAATGCCAGCAGCAGTATAAGTATCTTGAGGTTTTTTATTCTACCAATCAATGCCTAACTGGCAACAGAGACGAGAATATACTGTTCGGAAGGACTGACAATGCAGTATCAACAGGCGTTTGATGGAAAATGATTCACAAGTTTATTTTGATATACATAGTAGGTACACTACTATGTACCTACTACGTATACAGTTTTGAGGCCCAACAAAAGCTAGAAGTTCGATCATTAAGGTAATAAATCAAGGAACACACCTGCATTTGCAGCAGACGATGCACGGCGCAGCGAGCAGCAGAAGCGGACTTGCCACCAGCAGCAGGAGTCCGAAGCCAGCGAATATGCCGACCACCTGGAAGAAAAAGGTAGGCTGTTAAGAGCGTTTCATCATTGGAAATGATTCGCGCGCGGCGTTTTTTAATAGTTTTCAAATGTTTATAGCAAAACAATAACAATGAATTAAATATCGTTTCAAAGTAAATATTTTAAAGAAGATGTTGTTTTATTATATAAAGCTATTTTTATGTTGAATAAAGGAAGAATATTGGTGAAAAAATCACTTTGATTTTTGGGTATTTCACGTTCTTTTAATTTGTGATTTCTTATTGTAAAATGCTTAAATCTAAAAATTTTCTCAGATAACTATTTGCCCAAGGATCTATGCTATAGGATATAAATGTTTGTTAAATCGTTTTCACAGTATTTTTATAAAAATTTCAGCTTGTAAACTGACGCTAAAGTGGAAATTTACAAAAGCTGTGTGGACTTATCTTAAAAGAATTCATAAATACTAAACTAATCGCAATATTTTCTCAATTAACTATTTAGATGACGAAATTGCCTAACTATTTATGCCTATAACATATTTGTAGTATTACTGGTTAATGATTGTAACGAGTTGAAAAAGTACTGTTTTTGCGCCAAACGGCGTAAACGCTCTTAAATGTTTATGGTAAAGTACATCAAAGGAATAAGAATTGTGAGAACTCAGAACATAATTCTATGGAGCTTAGGTACTGCTGAAGAACAATACACGTCCGTGACATACATGCAAAGTAACTGATATACCTACGTGTGCATATCACAAAAACATTGACTCCTTTATTATAAGTAGAAAAATATAAAGATGTAGATATTATTTTCTTTAAGAAAAAATATCTCGCATCTCTCAGGTGCGTTAACCACATGACCATGAACGGCTATCGAATGGAAATCAATTCATACCGATCTATCAAATCTTATTTAAGTTGATCAGTGAGTGTATTGAATTACTGATCACTTCAATACACATAAAATATTTCACATTAGCTAACAAGTAACTTGGGTATTTTCTATTTAAAAATATTATTATCATGACCGACGACATCATAAAGGTAGAGGGAAGCCTTGGACGCAGGCTGTTACCAATCGATTAACATGGAAAACGTTGGCCTATGTTCAGCAGTGGACGTCCTATGGCTGAAATGATAATGATGATTCAAAAATATCACAAGTATTCAAAGCCTTTAACATTGTATGCTAACCTGTGCGCGGTGCCACAGCACTGATGCGCGTGAGTGTCCCAGTTTATTCTTGCAGGGCCCTTTATCGTAGTGCCGCAGCAGGAAGTCATCCTGAAACAATATAAAACAAATTATATCAGGTATTATAACATTATTTTAAAAAGATCTTTGGCTTGTTAATGTTATTAGAAGGGAACTAATTTATCTGGACTTTCATTTTTTGAGGGATAAGTACTTCTAGTTCTAGTACATAACGCTTCCACATAACCTGAAACTCTAACTCAAACACATTTACGACTATTCTTCAACTTCACAATTTATCAAGGCAGAGGCCAAGGCTAGTGCTAGTGCAAGTGTGGTAAACCTTAAGTATGTAAGGGAGAGTCCGCTAATTTGGACCAGTTTTTTTCAATCCCATTTTACACATAGTTTTCTTTTGTTTTTGCTAATGTCCATGGTATATAATAAAAGATACATTATTCAACTTACTATTTCATAAGTATTAATTAAAATGATTGTTGTATATTTAGCACAAATCAACAAAGTACGAGTTCAGAGCTTCGGTCCAATTTAGCCAACCGGTTCGATAATTTGTACCACAGGGTTACTAAATTGGATTTCAATAAATTTCAAGCCTATAAAAAAACTATGGCAAAATATTATACGATACATTCTTAACAAATTAGGAAACGAAAAGGAACAGTAGTTAATAACATAGACAATCGATATTGTTTTACACGTTATCACGATTTTGAGTACAAGTTTTGTAATTCCAATTATCGTAACGCACACTTGTACCTAATCTACTTTGCCAGTCTTTTGCTTTCATTTATTGTTAGTCAAACATAACTACGCTATTATAACTTCAAAATATGATTTACTAAAAAAAATTTCAAAATCCTTTGGTAAAGTTCCATACAACTTGATGTGGTACAATTTAGCCGACTAGGTGATAGTGCTTTTAAAAAATCTGTAAAAAATATAGCTTATAAATACCGAAAAATGTTTCAAATATTGTAATCCACACTAATTTACGCTTCTAAATAATATATTAGAAACACCCTGTGATTAAATTTAACAAAATTACAATCTAAACATGTATTGTCAAAAGTTACTTGAAAACAATGAAAAAATTCTTTTCAAAATAAAACACACGTGTTTCTTGTCACGGCAAAAACCACATGGCCGATATTAATTGATTTTAGTTGTGTATCGCTGAGTGTTGCAATTACAGACATTCAATAAATACTTTACGAAATATGAGGGTGGTACAATTTACCCGGCGGTACAATATACCGAACTCTCCCCTATAATGTGAGGTTGCTATCCACATGGCGGTTCTCACACACCACCGTTATCAATATTTCAAACTGCAGTCAAGTATGAACATCACATCGCTCTAGAAACAACTAACTACTGAGAAGTCGTCCTCCTCTGTTCTTCTGATTAAATTCGTTACGGGTCCAATGACAGTTTAACTTTTTCCCGGGACAAACTTGTCCTTCACTGGTTGGGTTTTTATTGGCGGTCAAGCTGTATGCAGTCATTTAGTCCCTACTGCAGGAGCACAATCCTCTCTAATTGACCAGAGGCAAATGGAGGATTTTGCCCACAATCCCCATTGACCAGATGGGTTGAATTGGAAGTAGCAAGAACTCCAATTCACTCGAAACTAATGAGGATTATTCCACTCTGACGGAACCACACAGCTATAATGCAATTTTTAACTGCTTAATAAAACGGAACCATAAAAATATTTAGTAGTATCATACTTTTACGTTGTTTTATTGGTCGTATTTCATTTTGATCAACTGGATTTGATCACCTAGGTGATCAAAGTGGACTTCTTATCCATGGGTGATCATAGAACACCAAAGTGCCGCCTGGAGTCCACATTGATCACCTAGGTGATCAAGTCTAGGTGATCAAATTGGAATAGACCAATAAAACAACGTAAAAGTATGATACTACTGGATATTTTTATAGTTCAACATCATTAAACATGTGGCCTTGGCGATGAACTGTACCTACACGTGTCGCGGTGAGGCGATTGACTGCTATATGCCAAAAAAATTGCATACATAATTCTGCTACGACAGGCTACGACAGTTCGTGTTAAAGCTTAATTTACTCGTAGTTAATAAGGGATACAGTTTGTGCTGTTATTGTGGAAGCACGTCAGTTCTTAAGCTAGGGATACGTTCATACTCTCGACAGCAGCCGACAGGGAAGGCGACTGTAGTCTCCTTAAAGGTGACACCTGTTGAACCAGGATCTAAAGATTGGTCGCCGTTAAAACCCAACCAGTGTAGTTTGAGTAGTCCTGTAGAAATAGTTGACTGCCATGGAACTCGCAACGAATTTCATCAGAAGAAATGGCCCCCTTTGAAAGTGGGAAGCAGATGGTTTAACTCGTGGAACCCTAAGGCCCAGAACAGACGGTGAAACGCAACTGCAACGAAACTGCAACTGCTAGTTACTTTTGAATTGCATCTAAGTTTCTGCCATACCGTCCGTTGAGAGACCACACATGACGCGACCAGTTTGAAACTTTCAGTTTCAGTTTCATTCATAAGAATCATCAGAAAGTTGCAGTTTTGTCGCAGTTGCGTTTCACCGTCTGATCTGGGCCTAAGTGGACGCATGAGAGCTTGGTATGGTAACTTTTTGGTTGACATTTTGCCAGACCCCCTCCCCCTAATCTCACTGAGATTTTCTAAAATGCCTATTTGCAATGTTAAATGAGATAATCCATGCTTTGAAAATATTAATTTTATAAAAAAACCCGACCTACTTAAAAAAATAACTTTTAGTACAATTTTTAACTGTTAATTTACATTTTGTTAATATCTAAGCATTGGTAGCAATCTGCGGATCTTAAAACTGGGCCTGTGTTCACAAATGCAGACGGAGGATTTACTCTGTTTGTTGTGGAAAAAAATTACGTGATATTTCTTGACACCCTCCCTCTCCCCCACGTGAGATTAAGTGAGGTTTTTCTGGACCCCCCCCCTAAAAGTCTCTCGTAATTTATGGACGCCCTCTTTCCAATACTGACATAGAAATAAATATGCTGTATCTCTACCGTCAAATGAATTGCATGTGTTAAGAGTCTTCAAAGTTTTTTGCAATCGCTAAGTATGGATTAGCAACGAGTGCAATTGAAGCATAGCGCTGGCACTCTCACAGTGTGTACGCTTTCTAGCCATTGTAAGACCGGTCCGCGTAGATCCTATCAGTTTGCAGGGTTGCCAATGCGATTGCAAAAATCCCTACTAATATTATAAATGTAAAAGTAACTCTTCTTGTCTGTCTGTCACGCTTTCACGCTTAAACCACTGAACCGATTTTGATGAAATTTGGCATAGAGATAGTCCCGGGAATTGACATAGAATATTTTTATCCTGGTTTTTGAAACAGGGACGGCTCGCGATCAAGTTTTTCTGTGACAAACAAAATTTCACGCGGGCGAACCTGTAGTAGTTGTTGGCTTTGTGAACAAAAATCGTTGATTACACTCAATTTTTCCCACCTGCTGATGCGGCCGTTACAAATTACCTGCTCAGGTAATGCTGATACAGATTTTGATCGCCACCATCTTCAAAACAGCCCTGTTACAATCGGACGAATCAGACTGGTGGCAGCCCTACCGGCAATACGCTTCGGTGCAGCACATGGGAACGCGAAATCGTTTCATTTAACACGAGTCGAAAGTGAAACAAAAAGATTGAATTATAAACACTTTATCAGATTAAACTCACGAAGTCACGACATTTTATGCATAAAACCAGATACATTGTAAGAAGATAATAATTAATATATTAGCGGAGGAACGCAAAAGTTTTGATTATTACTTATGGAAATATCTACTTCGTTTTTTGTGAATAACAAAGCAGGTTTTTGACTGCAATCACACCTGATGACCTGATGTTAAGTGAAATATAAGCAATAATGACAATTCCTTTTTACCTTGTTTCAACTAAATGTTTTCTATTCTTTAAATTGGGTTATGAAATTGAACTTTGATAAAACTTTACTTGGACACGAGAATGCACTAGCCAGAGTTCACTAGACTGTACAGACTATGGTATATCAAGCTCAACACTGTAGCATCTTATACAGTGGTAATAGAAGCGACTTTTCTACAAAAATGTAAAGCTGAAGTGCAGCTGTGATGCAAGCAGTAGACGTTGCATGACCGCAGGGTGTCAAGGCGAAGCGTAGAGTTTTCCATACACTCCGCGATTGTTTACGGCCTGTCCCCGTTCTCTATCGTTTCTGTGTAAAATTAGTTTTATTGTATTTTAATGTGCTGTGAGACTTGCTAATGTTGCTAGTGAAGCTATAATAGGTATGTTATACAGCTAAAAAGCTTTATAAAGGGTCTATAACCGATCCAGGACTTCTTCAGGGACCAATGAGACACGAGGGGAATCCCGAATCTACATTCTATTGTAGCTAGATGTTCCTGTATCATATTTGTTAATTGAGACACTAGTGCCCGTTTTCACCATCAATGCCAATTTTTAAGTCACCGCTATGTAAACAAAAACATGTTATTTGATACCTTAGGGGTCACTTAAAAAATTTGGGACTGATGGTGAAAACGGGCATAGGTCTTATACCTACATACCTCTCAACATCACCAATTTCTACCTGTAGTCAGCTCAGTCAGGACAGTGAGTTCGCTGTACAGGTTTCTGTTCTCGTTCAATCTCGGAAAATGCTCAGCTCACGTTAATAATTCACGGTCCGTGAGCTCGGTGCTCGTACTGTACGTTTGGGGTTACGTCTTACGTAAAAGCAAATAGTTTAGATACCTTTAGATGCTGTTGTGTATTGTGTAGAAGAGCAGATTTAAGATGATTATGTTTAACATTAACTTTACAGGTGTGCATAGCAGTGATTCTAAAGCTGAAAGTAATACTACTTCGAGCTATGCAAGGCAGTATCAGTAAACGATGACATTGAAACGCTCATACGTTATCAACGCGTAACTTGCTTTCTTCTAGAAGAGCACGTGGTACAAATGCCAATTTTATACAGCTACAAGTTTTGTAGAAGTGACAGGCACAGTTGCTTTGTAGCTACAAGTGTTAAAGAAGTTAATTTTACAGCAAGTATAACTGAGCGATGCAAAGCAGTATCAGCAGACGAGCTTCCAGCGCTTGCACATCATATGCGCGCAACCACCGTTCTTCTAGTTGAGCGCGTAGCACATAGACCACCTTTATACAGCTATAAGTTCCATAGAAGATCTGAAAGATACTCACGTCGAGCGATGCGAGGCAGTACCAACAGAAGACGTGCTTGCAGCGCTTGCACATCATCGCGCAGCCCTCACTCTTTTAGCTGAACACGCGACATATAGAACACTTGTATACAGCCACAAGTGGTACATAAGTTCTATAAGATATTCACGTCGAGCGATGCGAGGCAGTACCAGCAAAAAACGTGCTTGCAGCGCTTGCACATCATCTGCGCGCAGCCCTCATCCTTCTCTATGGGCACGCGGCACAGCTTGATGAGTTCCAAGATTTATAGCTGCAATGAAGCTGCTGTAGAAGCTGAAATGGATACTCACGTCAAGCGATGCGAGGCAGTACCAGCAGAAGACGTGCTTGCAGCGCTTGCACATCATTTGAGCACAGCCCTCGTCCTTCTCTATGGGCACACGGCACATGGGGCACAGCTTGATGAGCTCCGAGTCTGGCAGCAGAGGTGCGCCGGCGCCGGCCGCTGATGATGACGCAGCTGCCGCCTCGCACGACTGCCCACCGTGCCACTGCGGAAGAAAGTAAACAACAGATAAGTTTAAGCATATTTAAGTAAGCTATCCTCGGAAATGACATCGAATACCACAGTGTGCCTCGTCAGCGCAACCACGACCACTCTGACAAGTGTCTGACCAAGAAGAAGATAAGAAGAAGAAGTAAGATGCAGACCAAGAGCTTCTTCGTAAAAAGGTTTAATTAAGCTCAAGCTGACTTCAATCGTGGTCGCTGATATTCGAATTGATGATGTCTTAACTTCCGTAGAGTAGACAAAGACAATTTCTTTCAGCTACAGGTACGAGTAATGTAAGCAGGCCTTCCACTAGCAAACAAATGGATATGCAGTTTAAAGTAGAGTGGTTACAATTTCAATGCAAATCGTAATACAATACAGCTAGCAAACAAACTTACTATGGATCTTAGTAAAATAATGTACAAATAATTGAACATAAAGCCTTAAATACGATATCATCTTCAATAACGAATGCTCACGAGCGGTCCTAATATGGGTGTTTAATGTGTGAATTATTATTCATTAAGGCACATTAAACCCGCCATACAGCCATGTTCTAGTAAGCCGCAAGGATTGCATCGCAATCGAGGATAGCGATTTAATAAAATATAGGTACTTATATGGCAATTTATTTATAAGTGAGGTGTTTGTGAGTTCAAAAAGATGGTTTTAGCGATCCTTACCAAATGCCTAAAACCATTTTTGATTCCTCTATTAATAAGAAACTGATTTTGTATAAAATATGTGTTTCGTCCACCCCATATTAGCCTATTAACAATGTTGCTTAAATTATCAAAATCAGTAAAAAAACATACAAGACTTAGATAAAAAAAAATGCATTTTCTTTCATTTTATTATTCTTATTTGAAAACCTACCAAGATTGCCTAAAACCATTTTTTTTCCTCTATAAGAAACTGACAAAGTACAAAATACGTCCCATTTATCTGACCTCAGCTTTTAGCCTATTAACAATTTTACCTAAATTATCAAAATCAGTTATAAACATACAAGACTTGCATAAAACACTTGCATTTCTGACATTTTATGTGTTCCTTTTCTTTCTGTTCTTTTTATGTGGTGTGCATTAAAGAGTATTATTATTGTCGGTGTACACTTTTGTGCCTCAGCTTTTCGCCGGTTTCGAGGGAATGCACGGGCCTAAGCCAAGTGCAATCCTGATAAAATTGTATCACTAGTTTGTGGTTGTAGAGTCGGTGTCTGCCCTTGTTGGTTGGTTATGGCTGTCATGGGTTTGTAAAAATTTTCTTACGATTCTGCAGGTGTTCAGAATTACTGCCTTCTGTAGTGATATGTGTGAGGTGAGTGGTGGTAAATTAAGTGTATTTAATGATTGGTGTAGTTGTTTCGGTATGACGCCTGTTGTTGAAAGCACTATTGGAACGATGTTAACTTCATTAAGGCGCCACATCCGCCTGATTTCATCCTTTAAATCTGTGTATTTGGATAGTTTTTCTGATATTGAATTCTGCAGGTTATGAGTGTTGGGTATAGCTATATCTATTATAGTTGCTGTGCGGTTATTATTATATTATTATTATTTTATTATTTTGAAAACCTACCAAGATTTTAAGTAAATGTAAATAAAAGAGCATCAAGCATTAATTTACAAACAATAGCTTTTGGAATCTGTTTTTGTTATAATCATGATGACTAAGAAGAATTTTGATAAATAAGTACTTATTTTTTGTTCAATTGAGTAAGAATCCCAAGTATGTTACATGAAAAGTATGTACCTATGTATGTTATTTGACTCTACCAAATCAACTGTCGCATAATATTTTACAAAATAAATAAATGAAATACAATTGATGGTTTTCAATAGAATCTCAATTTTATTCATAAATGTTAGGACAATGTGCAGTCAAAGATTACGGATTTTTGGACAAACAAAGAACTACCAAAAACACCATAATGTAGGTATTATGATAAAGAGATCCTGACTAATATTCTAGGTAGCACATGTCAAACAAAAGCACGTGTACACCAGTCAGATAATTAGTTCATTAGTATGCGGTAACAGTAATTTGTGTGTAAATTATTCTACTTCACGTTTAAGTAGTTTGGTATACGTCGCCACCAAACACGCTACATTTTGATAGGTGCACAGTAAGTACAGAATTGTAACCGTATTTAGTCTACGCTTAAAAAACTTGGCATATAAGTACGATCGAAGAAAAGGTGTACTAAGTATTATATTCTCTAATAATATGATCTCCTCCACTATTCTAGGTTTCAGCCACAGGACCTCCACTGTTGAACATAGGCCTCCCCCAAAAATTTCCAGATTGGGCTACCTTTATGAGCTCGTCTGTCCACCTCGTAGTTGGACGTCCTACCTAACGGTACGTGGCCTCCATTCCAGAATTTTGATGCCCCATCGGCCGTCAGTTCTGCGTGCTATGTGCCCTGCCCATTGCCCCTTCAGCTAGCTAATCCGTCGGGATGTCAGCGACTAGTTATATTGATTGCTGCGCAAATATCTTAAAAGAATGAACAGCTATATAAAAATAACACCAACTGCGTAATAAATAATGTGATTCTATTATAGAATATACGAGTATTTTTTAATTTATATTAAGAATGGCGGGTTTATTTTTTACATTGTTCTTATCTTAATGGGGACTCGTCCTATTAAGGAAATCGCTGAGCTTAGAAAAGAAATATCGCGGCGTCTAATAATGTGCGTGTGTTTTTGTTTAATTTGAGAGGATTCTATTATGATGAATAAAGATTATTTTGATGTAGAGCTCTTTAGAAATGGTCATGGACGTGAAAATATCGCGATTCACGGTGTAAATACCATTTAATATTTTGAAATGTAAAAAGATTGGTCAATAAGTATTTTTATCTATTTGTTTCCATTGCAAGACCCTCTCTAATTTACCAGAGGCAAATGGACGGATTTGGTCTACACTCCCCACGCTGCTGGCCAGACACAGATTGAAGAGGCCAGAATGAATGATGTTCACGTATTTGTCCCGAAATCGCCACTTACGATTTACGGGAAGAATGGGAAGGAAGATATTCTGCTCTTTCGAAGCCACACGGTCGGCCAAATTAGTTTATCAATTACCTACTTAGTCTTTGAACCTAGCAAACGACAGAAAATATTATCTCAAAGGTACATAACTTTCAAAAACAAATACCAATACCTTAAAGGCAGTATAATTTTGCAAATACAATTTCCATTTCACACAGGGGCACCGTGTAGCCATTACACGACCTGATCGGTTCGTTCTGCGACTGCCCAGGGCACGGAATTAACTACGCAGTTAGATAAATAACAGAGTATTCCGACGTTCCTTCATACACTTCGCGATTTCCCCGGGGAATATGCGAACGGTATTCCGCTATTGGATTGGACATTTACCACGTTTCCAGTATTTACTCTGGTGATTGTTTTTGCATTACTAAGAAAATAGGCTAACCCGAGTGGTGATTCTTTTACTCTACTTTTTATTGTATATGACAACTGGTATAGCTTATGATTAGGTTTTTTTTAATAAATAGCTATTAGATTTATGAGCCATGTCAAGCGCCTTTGGTGGTTTATCTAGTATTCCAGTCTAATATAATAAAAAAGAAATCTATTAACAAACTTTCAATATTTGAAAATTATAAATAACTTGAAAAAATCGAACTGCCTAAGGCGGGAATTGAACCCACGACCTTCCGCTTGCCGGGCGACTGCTCTTCCAACTGAGATGCGACTCTAAACGCTAAAAAAAATTTAATAAACTTTCAATAGCTCTCCGCTCTTTAATAAATAATATCAAAACACGCTTTTCATAACATAAATACACGATATAAGTCCCCAGAATCTACTTACCTAAAATTCTAATAAATCGTTGACCGGGCTAACTCGAGATTGGCCGGGGCTTTGGGGCGCGCACTAACTAGGCGGTAAATGATTAATAACGCGGCGTTATCGCGCTGACGATGTTACACGTTTCTTCGGACATTGCGCACATTCCCCGGTTCGCACATTTCCCAGTGGGGTAGCCGGGATATTGGATTTTAGATTTTAAAAGGCTTAGTCAGCTGGCGAATCGATAAGACACAATATTTTGTGACCAATTGAAATAATTATTCTAAAGAGCCGTGCCATTATGGGTGTATGTTTCAAACAAGGCCAAATAAGCCTAAAATTGTTCAAAATTGTAACCTTATCTGGAACATGATCTAAACAGGATATACTTTACATTAATTGGCCTTAATTAATGTATAATTAGTTACAAACTTAATTAATTAAATCAGGAACGCACTCAGTTATCAGTAATGTGCTATAATTAAATCCTACAAGTCATCACAACATTGTATGTAATGAATTATGGAAATTGGACGTCTTCAAAATCACATTGTATCTGTTTACTTCACGAGTACGGTAAACAAAGCTATGAGCTATATTATGCATATGTATGTGAATATTTTACATACCTAAGTATAAATCAATTACAAAATCTACGATATATGACGCAATTTCCCATTGTAAACTTTCTTACTGCACCCGAACTTTCATAACAATTTATCGAAGAATATTATAAGCCTTTCGATGAACTTTAGCTGACAAAAGCTGATATTTCTGGCTATAAGAATAAAAACTGTCCACCTTTCGGCGTCTTAGTTGAATAGGCACTCCTACGAGTGGAGACACCATTATGTCCACGACATAGTTCACAAGCAAAAGACGTCAACAGCACATCACCTAGCCTAGACGGATCGATTTTAAACGATAAGCCCATACATTTTTAGTCTAAAATCAAAGATAAGATTATATCGTGGCGCGCATCCTAGTCCGGCTGACTCTAAATTTTGTTGCAAATTAGGAATTATTATAACTATGTAAGATGCCACAGTGTTTATCTTGATATGCCGTCTTCCGTATTTCTGCAGCTTTGGGATTCAATTTAATGTAAAAATACTAGCTTATTCCAGAGTATACCTAAGAACTGGCTTGAACAGACACAATGGCAGTA